CCTCCTGTGTTCCAGTTTGTGTCCATTACCCCTTGTCCTATCATTGTTTGTCACCGAGAAGAGCCTGGCTCCATCCTCGTGACACTCACCCTTTAAATATTTATAACCATGAATGAGGTCTCCCCTCAGTCTCCTCTTCTGCAAATCTTTGGAATAATCTCTTTGGAATGGCTCGAGATCAGTCCTGAGGAGAAGGACCTGGGGGTTTCGGTTGATGAAAACCTCAACATGAGCTGGCAGTGTGCACTTGCAGCCTGGAAGGCCAACAGCATCCTGGGCTGCATCCAAAGAAGTGTGGCCAGCAGGCGAGGGAGGGGATTCTGCCCCTCTGCTCTGCTCTGGTGAGACCCCACCTGGAGCACTGCGTCCAGCTTTGGAGTCCCCAACACAAGGACATGGAGCTGTTGGAGTGGATCCAGAGGAGGCCACGAAGATGATCAGGGGCTGGAGCACCTTCCCTATGGAAATCGACTGAGAGAGTTGGGACTGTTCAGCCTGGAGAAGAGAAGGCTCCGGGGAGACCCTACAGCAGCCTTCTGGTACTCAAAGGGGGCCTACAGGAAAGATGGGGAGGGTCTTTTTACCAGGACAGGTAGCGATAGAATGAAGGGGAATGGTTTTAAACTGGAAGAGGGGAGATTTAGACTGGATATTAGGAGGAAATTCTTTACTGTGAGGGTGGTGAGGCACTGGCACAGGTTGCCCAGGGAAGCTGTGGATGCCCCCTCCCTGGCAGTGTTCAAGGCCAGGTTGGACGGGGATTTGGGGAGCCTGGGCTGGTGGAGGTGTCCCTGCCCATGGCAAGGTGAGTTGGACCCAAATCATTCTATGATTTTGTGATCGCAGAGCCACTCCTAAACTTAAAAATAATGAAACAAGTTTTTAAAGTCAAAATTCACAAACTGTTGGCCAGCTGAAGCCACGCTCAGCACAGACAGCTGGTTCTGCCAGCTGGTAGCCAGGAGGGGTCGGTCACCTTCTTGTCCTCTCCTCCCACATGGGAAAAGCCCAACCGATTTTTTGCCTTGCCCTGTGCTTCACATGGCTGGAGAACTCCAGAGATGGGGAAAGGGGGTTTTATTTTCCTGTTTGCTTAGAAAAAAATGTGTTCTGTTCTGCTAGGAGCGAGCTGTGATGTTGAGTGCACAGAGCGTGGCAGCACTCGTCAGGCTGGACCCCAGGAGAGATGCAGGAACGGTGCTGGGAGCTCCAAGGTCTCTCCACACCTGCTTGGCTTCAGCGTTCTTCATTATTCACCCTACTGTAAAAGAAATATTTGGCTGCTGATAAAACAAACATGAAGAAGTTGTCTGCTGCACCTGTGGCTTTGCTGCCCTGCCAGCACCACCGCGGGAGGCACCAGGGGCACCAGTCCCTCCAGCCCCGCTCTGGGGCTCAGCTCACTCTGGAGGTCACCTGAAAGCAAAACGACAGAAGAGCACTGCAGGGTTCCCAGGACAGGGGCTGAGGCCACGCTTCATCTCGCGCCTGTTCCGTTTCCCAGCTGCAAATTGAAGGCATTGGATTGGAGAAGCTGCGGGGAGGTTTCACCACCAGCTGCCCTGGCAGGAGCTTGTCCTGGGTTTTTTGCATCCCTGGAGCTGGTCCCGCTGGGAGTGAACGAGCGTGGCCTTGAAAACGAGGTGTTTTGTTCATGTTCTTCTGGCTTGAAACAAAGGATGTGTACAATTCTATTTTAAAAGAGTGTGAACATCAGATCTGCTCCAACTGGTGACAAGCAGCTTAAAGAGGCCTGTGATGAATGGGAGGGGAGTGTGGCCCTTCATGGCACACACATCCTGTTATTATCTGGAACTACAGCACTAAATACCCCCATTCCTGGTACAGGGACTCATCAGTGTGGTGGGGTGGTGGCACCACACTCAACCCGTGTGGTTCTCTTGTTTTGAATGTGTTCTTACTGTGAGCATGGGCAATTCACAGAATCACAGAATCGCTCGGTTGGAAAAGCCCTCTGAGATCATCACGTCCAACCGTTCCTGTCTACCCCCTAAACCATATCCTTAAGTACCTCGTCTACCCGCTCTTTAAACATATCCAGGGATGGGGACTCCACCACCTCCCTGGGCAGCCTGTGCCAGCTTCTGATGACCCTCTCAGTAAAGAACTTCCTCCTTAGCTCTGACCTGAACCTCCCTTGGCACAGCTTGGTGCCGTTTCCCCTTGTTCTATCCCCCATCACCTGGGAGAAGAGACCAGCACCCACCTCTCCACAAGCTCCCTTGAGGCAGTTGGAGGTGGTGATGAGGTCTCCCCTCAGCCTTCTCTTCTCCAGGCTAAACAAGCCCAGTTCCCTCAGCCGCTCCTCATCAGGCTTGTTCTCCAGAGCCCTCCCCATCCTTGTGGCTCTTCCGTCCCCAGCTTCTTCTGGCTCTGCTTTCTTCACATCCTCCCACCCTTGGCCCATTTCTGATCACAGCCGAGGTATTTTCATGTTTCTTTGGCTGTCAATGGATGGTTCAGCACAGACCAATTACAAATGGTCTAAGAAAAGAGAGCTGCTTTGTAAAAATCCATCACATTTTGCTTCTAGAACGATCCCCATTTTCCCTTCATCGTGCACAGCTCAGTATAAATGACAATTGCGGTGGCACTGCACTTTTCCACCTGATAACTACAGATGTAGCTGTAAATGGTTCAGCAACTGCTCGTAAGGATGATGTCAAATCCTGCATTTTGCTAAGATTAATGAACAAAGACAGTTATTTATTTTATTGTAATGAGAAGCCTAAATTATTTTGAAATAGAGTACCTGAAAATACACTACCTTAGTGAATGTACAGCTGAAAAACACACTGTTAGCATGGAAAAAGGGATGGCTTTGCGACCTTTTTTTGGTGGCAGATACTGTTGACTGGAAAAAAAAGCTCGAGGTTCTCCGTGCAGCTTTGGGAGAAGAAATGAAAGTACATAAAGGGCTTGGTTACTGCTTCCATTGCTGCGGCTGAAGCCGAGGCAGAGGTCAGAGCTGCTTGTGAGTGAACTGGATACCACAGGCTGGATGTAATAGAAGGCTCCCCCTGTCCCCACGCTGCGTGGGACAGTGTCTGGTCCGTGACACGTTCACACATGTGAACAGAGACCAGAGCACATCAGGAAGGTGCTCGCGTATTTGTGGTGTCTCCTCATTTTGGAAGCTGATCTGATCCCGAGTGACAAGAAGCTGGGGGTATCTGAACGCGTTGAATTGACAGGAAAGAGGTGGTGAAAGCAAAACCAGGGCTGGGCCCGTGTCTGTTTGGCAAGACAAGACAATTGGGGTGCTTTTAAAGGAATTGCTGAGAGAACACGAGGAAGCAAAGCTCTAATCCCAAAGTAAAGGCCTGATCCAGCCAGCTGGGACTGTTCAGCCTGGAGAAGCCCCAGGTTGTATCAATACCTGAAAGGAGGGTGCAGAAAAGCCAGAGCCAGACTCTTTTCAAGGGTGCCCTTTTTGCAAAGGGTGAAACCCTTGCAGCTCAAATCCACCTTTGAAACCTTCCAAAGGGAAACCCTTTTTGTAACCGAGCACTGACACCAGTTGCCCAGAGCGGTGGTGGAGTCTCCATCCTTGGAGCTGCTCAGACGCTGCCTGGCTGCAGCCAGGGGTTGGACCAGGATCGCTGGAGTCCCTTACACCTC